CATGAGAACTGCGTTCGAATGGAACTGCGGATTCAAATGACCACTGCACCCACCACCTTCGGGCAGCTTGGATGAGGAAAAACTAATTAAGAAGATGTGAAACTATATACCGTGCATTTGCTTTGTAATGCTGAAACAAAACACATTGATTCTGTACTGCCATTCATCGCAGACCTTTTGTGTGGAATGCCATAGAATCCCATATTTGTAAATTTAACTGATGGGATCACCACAAGCGAAATAAAACAACAAAACTAAAGCTAAGACTTCTCGTTGAGAAAGAGTGGTATAGTCCCTGGACCAGAGGCGGCAAGATGGCTTTCTGGAGAAAACTAACAGCTGCGATTGACATAACGATGCACGGTGAAGAAAAATAATGGCACAAATCATCCACTTCAAACTATTTCCTCGCTGTAACTAACGGCGAATGATGTTCTGTTGCTGCTGCTGCTGCTGTAGAGGTGCGCAAGCACAAATAACAAACAAAAACAACGAAACGCACATCGATAACACTGCGTACAAGTGAAAAAGAATAATTGGGCGACGTTTCTGGCAATGGCCGTTTTGCTTCACAGCACGTGATCATTTATACACGATGATGAAGGACCATTTCTAGAAATGTCACCTCTTGTTTGCACTTCGTATATTGCTCGGCAATGTTTCCGGCTATAACTGTAATGCTCTCCCCTCCCTTTATTTGCAGGCCTTTTTTCGGTAACTGCTTTGCAAACGACAATCTCTCGCTTGAGTGTTGCTGGGCAATATTCAAAAGTCTACAACGCAGCATGGCGAGCTTTTGCGAATATTCTTGGGGTTACGAGCGCAATATTCTACATCCGATTCGCCTAAGCGAACTGCGCGACGCCAGCTCTTGCGCGCAACAGTAACTCCACGATGAAGCACCGGCTGTGTTGCTTTCGCATGAACTTCATGAGAATTCTGTTCGCTACAAGGAAAAACCTGGACATCGCCAAGGCATCAATGCACGCCTTACGAGACCGAGCCTTTTGATGTGACCACGATACTTTCTACCCGCCTTTTAGTCAGTGGCTACAACAGGAGGGAACGCGTCCACCAAGATCTTCCCTGGCAGGTATCCGACCACCTGGTATCAATTCCACAAACTGGTGTCGGCTGTCAAGTCGCTGGCACAAATAAAGACCCCACCCCGTATCGCCTGAACAGACTGTTGGGAGAAAATGCTGTTAGCGAGCACCTAAGAAGGCCGGCACGGCACACGAGGGGGTGGGTGGCCAGCACCACGCCCGGCCGCCTTTGTCTCCCGAGTGGCGATGTTTACACACCGCACGGGGTACTCATTTGAGGCTGAGTCGACCTAGGGAAGGCCCAGAACCGGTTTAGACAATCGTCACTGGTGCTGGCCGTGAGCGAGAATCGAACTCTGGTCGCGGGGTTCGTAGCGCGGGGCGCTAATCGCTAAACTACCCACTTCCATTACCGCTCACACACGCACGAACATTCACTCTCTCGTGCAGACAAGACAATTGAAATGGGTCCTCTGATTCCCCACGTCACCCCAACGTCATACCGTGTCAAGGGAACACCCCCCCAGGGACCCCACGTGCTAATTTTCGGGCAAAGTGGCGGCTGAGCTGGGCCGCAAACGTCGCCTCTGATCGAGACGCCGGCAAAAGATCATGGGAGACATTCACAGGGAAGATTTCACGGGGGTTGGTGTACGGTGACCCTGGATTGTCGCGAGATGACTGTGAGAGTCAGTCAGGGGGTACAAGCATTTAGTTTCCCAGAATGCTCGTCTCTTTCCCACTCTGTTGGCTCACGGAATAACTTCACGCTGCCCTTTGAGGGCTTTTTGTCTTGCTGACCATTCACGTGATTCACAGCAGAGCGATTTCCGCCGTCGTCTTACAGCACAGCACCGTGAGATGCAGATGTATGTGGATGCTACACGACATAGACATTGTAATGTAAATTGTAGTATCACCGAGCAATTATAGTTCACAAAACCTCTGAGTCTCTCTGACATTATATCACCTGTCGTGTGTGTAAAGTGTATGAATGTTATCCTGAATAATTTTTCTCACATTTTTGTTTCTCCCGAGCCTCAGAATATCATCTTAAAGTGTCAATGTGTGCACGTTACAAAAATAAGAGTTAATTAATCAATGAATGCTGGGCTTTCATGAAAAATAAATCTCAACACGTGACGAGCTCACAAAGCAGCCATACCACTCTAGAGGCATGCACATTGCCGATTTCGGCCTTGTCTTGTTCACGAAACAATTCTTTAAAACCATCGCACAGAGCGTGCGCCCCCGAAGATGACAGACAGCACAGCGAGAAAACTAGAACTTAAATGGCCACACACACGCGCCATGGTTATGACGGGGGCGCCGATGCAGCAGACGAGTTGAACCGCAGAGCTCGCCCCCGCACCGCACGTATCTACAAAGCGTCGCACGTATCTACAAACGTGCGTGACCGTGCGCACGAGCGCAGCGCACGAAGCACCGCGTGGCCATCGCACGCCGCGGGAATGGAGAGGCGTCGATGTATCCCCTAAAACAGGGCGAGCGGTCCGTGAGAACCTCCACCACCACCGCGGCTGTTGGCGATCGACGTTTTAACACAAACTCATCACCCCGTCGGCGGTTATGTCTCACGTGCGTCGATGGAATCGCGCAAGTCGTGGAAATTGCGCGGGCGCAATTCTGGGCATCAAAACGAATGTCTTCGAAGATAAATAGGGCGGATAAAGTAAACAATAAAGTTGTGCCGCGTGGGATATGCCTTACTCTGCGCCGAAAAATTTCCTCGGAGGCTGCCTTAGTCTTGGTTCCAATTTCTTGGGACAGTGCGACTGCATTTAGAAGAGTCGTAAATAAACCGAAGATTTGTTTCGTCAGCGTGGCGGACCAGAGACTCAGAACTCCCTTGGCGTGGATGTATTATTTTCGCCGTTTTTACAGCAGAAATTCCAATAAATCCGCGTTGATGTGGCGGGACTAGATCGCGGATCGTGTAAATTCACGGCACACCACAGAGGTTGGACTTGTAATCCGCGAATGGCATGTTTGCGCCGGTGCGGTGGATTATGGGAAGAATTCGCCGGACTGCAGGGGAATCGTAGCGCGTGAGCAATGTTTAAATCAATCCGTGATAAATGTACGGACCCAAACGGCGCAAATCTGCCATACGGGTCCATGTTAAAGATTTTATTTGTTTAAGCTTTAGATATGAAGTAAAAAAAAATTCTCCAAAAAAAATCACGCCAGCTGGTCTGCCCTGATGCCAAACAATTAATTTTTCATCGCAAAATAACAAGAAAATGACCTACACGTTTTACTGCAGCTCAGCACGGGCAGAGCCCCCTCTGCTACGAGGTCGAAATTTGAGGTCCAAAGCACCGTTTGCGATCCGCCGTGGATCGTGGGAGCACAGTCGCGAAACCGCCAATAATCCGCAATTTATCCAGGGATTTGGTAACATCGGAGGAGAGTGGCATCTGGATGAATCCCCCACCCCCCGTTCTCCGACTAGCACTGACCAGAGTGGGGTAAAGTATGGTCAAACAACCCTCACGACTCGCACGGCATTGGGAGAAGCCTTCCTCCAGTCGTGGAAGTCTGGCTTCTTGCTCGATTAAAAAACAACTACAAACCAACCAAACATTCCATAACAAGCAAGCTCCCCCGGCTCACTTCGAACACAAATGCGCTTGTGCTTAACAGCGAAGCGAGCAATCAAGCACGCTGCCGCCACTCGTCGTCATGGCTACGGACGCATCGTCCACACCTGCATCAATGTGGAAACTGCTCGTCGGAGCCCGCGGGCAAAATCATCAGGCGGCGTGGTGTCGATCGTGCGGGCGAGTCCACGGAGCCCCAGGAACAACTCCTCGCACTTGCAAGGGTGGCATCAAAGGGATGGTGCCAGCTGACCACATGCCAAAGGTCAGACAAAACACAAAGTCTATTTAACAGATACAATAAAAAACAAATCAACCAAAATGCCCACGAATTGCGTATGATTATCGGAAACAATTGAATGAGACGTGAGTAAAATTGCCCAAAGATACCTGGTAGAAATTCCTCCAACCTAACCACCCAGCGCACAATTCGCGTGAAGCAGGCAGTGGGTCAAGTGTCGGGCGGGCGGGTGGAGGAGGAGGAGGTGGGAGGGGGGTGAGACGGAGTTCACAGGAATGTAGAACAATGAAGGTTGTACGTCGAAACGCCAACGAACTGTGAAGGAGGAAAGAAACCCGGCGAGCTATTGGCCGGCGACTGAACCCGCGTGTTACTCCGACCTTGCGCCACTTTGGCGACGAGTTATGGCATTTGAGCGTTTTTTACCCTGGCAGGCCAATGCTGTGGTGATGCTCCCCCCCCCATGAGCAACCCCCCCACCACCTCCCACTGCTCAAAATAAGTGACGGAATGCGGTGGGGGTGAGGTGGTAGAGCTCGCGAGACAAGGCTCAGAGGTAAGGGGCGTCAATCCGGGGTGGGGTCGGGGGGGAACGGTCACCGCCGCTCGCGACTCCGCGGGGGTCGGGGGGGGGGCTGTGCCGAGGGACGCGGTCCCCGAAGCGCGACCAAACCTCTCGCTGCACGAGAAGCGGAGCGTCCGTTCAATCGTTGCCCCTAATTATTAAAGAAGTGGGACGGCAGCCGCAGCGCCGAACGAAGCAGTGCCCCCAAACCCCCCGCCCTCCCTTACTCCCCCCCCCCACCGGGCTTCGTGCAGCCACAGTCTCGAACGGTAGCAAGGGAAGGGGGAGGGGGGGGCAACGACGAGGAACTACAGCGAACTACGGCGCGATCAAAGCTTGCGAGAGCCAGTCCCGCCCGGAGAGGATCCGCCTGCTACTATATTCACGTCGATTTTTCTGTACAAAAAAAACACGCCGAGAGCTGCTCCGCCGCATTGCGGTCGTGGTTTCTATCAAAAGGTTTAGGGGAGGGGGGCAGTTGGGGGGGGGGGGGGGGGAGGGGGGGTGAGTGGGGAAGGGGCGAGGGGTCGGGAGGGGGGGGGCAGCAGCGTCCCCGCTAGCGTGGTCGCCGCGCGCTACAACGCACGCGCGCCACCTGACCCCACCACCCCCTCCAAATACGCTGCGACGACGCTTTGAGATTCCCGCCGTGGCTACGGGGCCTCCTCCACCCCCCCCCCCCACTCCCGGCGTGACAGCCCACGGAGAAAAAGAAAATAAATTTTTGTTTTAAACTAATCGCAACGGTGCCCAAAAATCGTAAACATTCCTGGACATCAGCCGTGCGGTAGCGTTTTTATTGCGTGTAGTAGTAGTCGTAATAATGATGATGATCTGGGGGAGGGGGGGGGTGCATTTTGTTACTCTTTTGCCGTTTGACTCCTTCACCGTCTGCATTCCAATCGTTGTGCGGGGGTCATTCATGGAGGGGTGGGGAGTGGGGGCAGCAGGGGGCCGAGTGGGCCGTGGATCTCAGAACCGGAGCGGCTAAACGTCACCACCCTTCGCCTGATATCCCCCCGCCACCACCACCACCAAGGGTCTCTCCCCTCTCTCTTTCTCAAGCCCTGCAAGCAGTGGACAAAGGAGCAGCCTCTTTCTCTCTCTCCGTGCCCGTCTGCCAGATAAGAACCTCGGAAGAGATGGACACCAACGAGTTCGAAACCGAATTTGTTCAACGGCGTTTGTGTCCGGCCATTAATGACCGCGGTGAGGCCATTGGGTGTGACTACCCACGACAGAGGTTGGATTGACACAGGGCGTTTGATAGAATTCAGGAAAAGATACGACTTAACTTTTGGGAAATTATACGTTGGATACAAATGTGTTTTTTTCTTTCCTTCTTAGGGAAGAACTGAATGGTGGCTGCCACAATGGCTTGTTTGCTCGGCCGGTTAGCAAGAGGGATTTACAGCTTGTACTGTCAAGAGTGCTTTGAGAAAAACATGGATTTTCACAAAAATCAAGAAACTCCCTGTGCAAAATCTCAATCATTTTGTCCATTGGTACGAATCGCTCTCATCCCCCCCCCGGGGGGCGTAACCACGGCGAGCTGAGCCGTCGCTTAACGCGAAGCGCTGGCTGCAGCTGCCGCTGCTGAGGTCTCTAGAAGTGAAGGGCAATCGGTCGATATTAAATGCTTCCCTCCCTTGTCAAGACGCCACGATCACAACTGGGACACAACCGGTACCGAAAACACAAAACAATAAAACAAAGGATCATCTAATTACTAGGTGAAAAGGTTGAGAGTTTGGGGGGGGAGGTTTGGGGAGGAGGGGGGGGGGTGTGCTCCCTGTGCAGAACCAATCAAGAGGCCTCGAGGTTTGGGTCGACGAGGCAAACCCACGGGGGGGGAGGGAGACGTCTCCCCACCCGCCCACCGGGCCGGCGCGTGCGTGGGCGGCGACGGGCGCTACTGCGAGCCGGTGCCGTTGGCGCGCAGGATGGGCAGGGGGTGCGCCTCGGTGTTGAACACCCAGCGCTCGAGCGGCAGCAGCGAGTCGTCCGAGAACAGCAGGTAGAGGTACCTGCGGAGTCACAGCGGGCGGGCGGCACTCCGTTAGCGCGGGAACTTCGATCGAACGTGCGCGCGGACGTGACGGGCGAGTTCTTTCGCCCGTGGGCACGCACTCGCTGTCCTTTCCCCGCACCTCCGATTAGCACGGCTGGCTACGCACGGTCCGAAAGAACTTCAACGGACATACGTACAAACACGGCACAGACCCATGTGTCATGGGTTGACCGAAACGAGCGGCCGACGGATTACCCGTGCTCCCCCCCAGCAGTGCCACCCTTCCTGTGTTTGTCACGCGTGCACACAAACATCCCACCGGATGGTTTTTAACAGACCGTTAGGGCAAGTGCTATGAGCGAGCACCAATAAAGGCTGGGTCGACCTAGGGGAGGTCCGAGACCAGTTCAATATTAACCATTGTTATTGGCCATGAGCCGGAATCGAACTCAGGCCAGTGGGTTCGTACCTGCAGCTCACAAACAACTGTACCTCCGTTTATCACGCATGGCACCAAAAAACACACGCGTACATGCACGCACATCCACACATCAAAAACAACAACTGCCATTCGCCACTAAGTGGTGGTGACGTCACCACAGCATTTGTGCCAGGCTATATGTCCCATGACCTCCGCTGGCAGGAGGTCATGGGACAGACTCAGGTGCCATGGGTTGACCGACTGAGATGACCGACAGATGAACCGCTGGTGCCCCCTGCTGTGCCAACTTCCTGCGTTTTAGCCGCCCGGCACTCCGCCCGTTGTTGCGAGCGTCGCTCCTCCACACACGCACGCACGCACACGTACTTGAGCGTCTCGGCAAGGAAGAAGCTCTGCTGCACGTCGTCGTGAGCTGGCGATGAAGAGTAGACGTCTCGGATGCCCGAGAAGCCGCCCTCCACGCGGCAGTACTTTTCCAGCGCCTGCGCCAACGAGGTCACAGAGGAGGGATGCCAGCACTGCGTGAGAATCATCATCATCGGGCCATGATCTATCCACTGCTGCGTCAAGGCCTAAGTTGACCTCTCTCTCAACTACGAGAGCGAGGAGGAGCAGATACCATGCGGCGGCGGTGCGGTGTTAAAATGTCGCGTGAAGCCTAGAGTGCATGTGCACCAAGCTAGACGCGGCCGTGCGATCGCCCCCATCCCCCACCCCCATCCGCCTCTAACCTGCACGGCCTCCCAGCCCCACGCGCGATACTTGGGGTCCCGGGTGAACCGCCAGAGGTAGAAGTACGTCTCCACCACCTCGGGCCGCAGGATGTAGTACTTCTCACTCTGCCGCGTGGCCACGGCGTCGGCGCCGCCCTCGAAGCGGAACGTCTCCGGGCCCAGCTTCAGCGCTGTGCGCGCACACGGACACACGCACGGACCACGGACACACAGACACACGGACACACATGCACGGACACACACGCACGAGCACAGAGACACACGAACGCACGAACACACAGACACACGAACACGCATGCACAAACACACAGACACACGCATGCACAAACACACAGACACACGCATGGACACACAGACGCACAGACACACGGATGGTCATTGCGATGGCACCCAGAGGTCAGATAACCAAGGTGAAGGGTAACAGACAGACAACATTATAGATTGACTGTGTGGGCAGTCCTAGAAGAAGGTGTCAAACTGATTGATAAGGCGAAGGCATAGACGCAGATGGTGGTGATGAAATTGAAAGAGGTCACTGAAGGATGCGTCGACTGCGTAGCGAGGGATGGACCTAAAGCCAGGTGGCGGTGATGAGACGGTCAAAACAGAGCACATGATGGAAATACGTTCAGGAGCTTGATGCCAATGTCGAGGACTGCTGGACGCGGCGAGGGGGCTTCAGGAGTCAGAGTTTGTTTCGCGTTTCTATTCCTCCTCCTCCGTTTAAGGAGCGCAAACTGCCGTGACTTGACGATAAACTTGGGTCGTCAGCCTGCCGACTGCGCCACGGTCGCGAGATCGCCCAGCGGGAAGCCGGAAGCGAGAACGTGCGGCGGCGGACGGCATGGGCCTCGGCGAACCGACCCCCCCCCCCCCCACCCCGTTGACCCGGCCGCGGACTCACCGGCGCGGTTGTACGACTCGTGGCAGGTGTGCGCGATCTCGGCGGCGAGCGCCAGGTGGCCGCCCGTGGCCTCCGCCCCCTGGGCGCCGGCCTGGGGGGACGACGCGCCGTCGGCGCCGAGGGCGAACATGCCGCCCGTGAAGCACGCCAGGTGGCCCATCTTCCTCTCCAGGTAGCCGCTGCGCCACTCGCCGAAGAAGGTGAGGCCACCCTCTGACCTCCGCAGAAGGTGAGCCTCGATCGCCTGCGGACGGAGCGAGGGATGGAACGCGCGCGAGTGACGCGGAGCCGCCGCGAAGGTCGTGGACGAGCGCGGCTGTTGAGAGCCCGCGTGAGTTCACGCGGATTTTTTGTGCGCGCGGCCCGTTTGATGGAGGTTGTTCCATCGTGCGGAGTCAAACGTCGGACATCGTGCCCGTACAACCAGAAATAAAATTGAGAGAGTCTGGACGTGAAGTTAAATTTGTTTCCAATCGTGAACAATTATATATGGAAAAAAACAGAAACAAAAGGCAATTCCATTTAATGGCCCTTTTCCACAGGAATGTAGAATTTCCATCGCTGGCTCGAGGCTGCCAAGGCAGCCGTCCATTTACTCTTTTAGAGCACGGAGACATTTTCTCTTTTGAAACTGTTGACGGGACATTCCTACGATGGTTGAGTAGCATTTGCCAAAAATAACAATGTAAAAACTATCTCACCAAATTGTAATTTTAAACTGTTTAGGATTTCACACTGTTGGAATATTATATTACAAAACTCGCATTTTCGTCAAACGTTTGTTTTCTTTTTGTTAACAGATTAAATGGATGTGGTGATCATCTATGGGCTCGGCTCGTTGCCCAGCTACTGGAGATAAACATTCCCTGGCAATGCCAGTTCACTCAGTGGGCCTCCTGTGGTGACTGGCAAATAGCAGTGACTCTGGGGAAATTAAACTGCATCCGTAAGACTTGTACTCATGTGCGTGTGCTTCTCTGAACCACAAGGATTATGAAGACAATTAGAAATATCATAACGGTGCCTATGACTTTCTGACCTATGGGCATTAGCAATGAGGCCGAAGAATCCTACGCGTGTCTGTCTTACTCTGGCTTTCTGAACCATAGAAATAAACGGTGAATCCTGAGAAATCCAAAGTTGGCCTCATTCTGTATTCTGAGCCATGCGCATGCATGCCATCAGTTTTTTTTCCGGATGATATACACGTACACCGGGGCTACCATAGAGTGCAGTCGCTTTCACAATTGTACTCGCGTACAATGTCTTGAAGAACAACGGCGCGATGCCCTCTCTCGAAATCAAATTAACGCCGAACCGCCTTGAGCGTTCCGAGATTCGGCGGTCAAGGGGACACCCCCGCCCCCTACCCTGCAAACTTTCGGACGTCTCTGAACGGGAAAGGGTTTAAAATGGTGAATCCTACGAAATCCCTTCTGGATTCTGAGCCATGGGCATTAACGCTGAAGCCTAAGAAACCCCAAGCGAGCAATCACCCGGAATCTCCAGAACCCGAAGAGTAACAGCCCCCCCCCCGCCGCTGAGATCGAGGCCCGTCTCAGTCGCGGCACCGACGTCACAGTCGCAGCACGCGGTCGGTGTCACGTGCCCCTGTCTGTCGCGTCGATGGCCGAGTGGGCGGGACGAGGAGGGGCGAGGAGGGAGGCGATGAGGGGCGGGGAGGGGGGCGTTCCGTACCTGCATGGCGTCGTCGTAGAGGCGCCGCGCCTGCGTATCCGTGCGGTCCGACATGAGCCACGCCTTGATGAGGTACTCGTAAAAGCTGTCTCCGAGCCCGCCCACCGACACGTGGTCTGCACGCCGGACGCACGCGCAAAGTCCACAAGGCGAACGCTTGCAAGCAGAAATGGGGGGGGGGGGGGTGCTAAAGCTGGGCGTGGTTGTTGCGGTGAGGGGGGGTGGATTCCAGGTGGGTTAATGATTCACTTTGTAACACGATTTTTGTTCCTGGGTAGTAAGTGTTATTTCCTAATTGCTTATGCCTCAAAAGTATAGAAACTGGCTATTATTCCCCACAAACTTTGCTTCAGTGACCAGGACTTTACGTGAAGGAATGACACAAATGCAAGTTTTCTCTTTGAAAATAGGTACATTTCAAAATATCACTGTTCTGGTCACAAAAGCAAAGTTTGTGGGGAATAATAGCGATTTTCTGTACTTTTGAGGCATAAGCAATTAGGAAATAGCACTTACTACCCAGGAACAAAAAAATAATAAATTTGTTACACAGTGTTATTAATGGAGTGGATTATTAACTTTGCTTGTGTCCTGGTCACAAAAGCAAAGTTCGTGGGGAATACCTAGGGACAAAAAAAATAGATTTGTTTGTTACACAGTGTTATAATCAGCGTGTGGTGAAATCACTACTGGCAGCGGCTATTGCGGCGAGGTGAATTGCGGGTGAGGCTTCGAAGTGAGGCCAGCCACTGGGCAGCCCTGGACCACGGTGAGATCGCTTCCACGAAGATTCCCAAGCCGTGACCCCCCCCCCCCCGTGTCTATCAAGTAACACAACATCTGGTCTGACGTAGAACAAAGACCCCCCCCCCTCCTACAGCCTTAACAGACTTGTCGGGTCAAGCGCTGTTAGCGAGCAGCACCTAATGAAGGTCAATAGCGGCACGCAAAGGGGTGGGGGGGGGGGGGCAACGCCACGCCCGGCCGCCTCTGTCTCCCCCACAGTTCTGATGTTACTCATTCCAAGGCCGAGTCGACCTAGGGGAGGGCCCAGGGGCACTTCAAATATCTGTCACCAATGTGATGCAAAGACAAAGAAACAATGGAAAATAAATAGCATCAAATCACCTGGAGAATATGGTATTCCGTCCACTCGTAAACAACAGTTATCCGTTTATTTAATTCCCGGTGCATCTCCTGTCAGCATGTTCAGCCTCTGCTGTCTTGCTGTGGGGGGTTGGCACCGGCTGGAGAAGACGCTCTGTGCTTGCCTCAAGACACCCGCAAGGGCTATCCGGGAAGTAATTGGCAAAAATAGAAGATCAGCCTGCTCTGAAGTAAAAATTAAAGCCATCGATCAAGAGCTGGGCCCTCGCCTGCGCGCTGGCGAGAGGGGGGGGGAGGGGCTCGTTGGGTGTCGAAATTTAAGTTGCGCCAAGACGGCTCAGCCCGCCTGCGCACTTTCGCTGGTGATGTGGCAAGGCCCTCAACGAAGCGCCGGCGTGGAGAATACCCCCTCTAGATTTGAAGCTTTCGTGACTGCAAGGATTCATATTGTTAGGTTTTTTCGGTAAAGTCACGTAGGTAAAAATAAAATTAGTAAAATAAAATAAAAAATCACGACGTTTCGGAGGCAGCACAAGCTTGCGTCTTAAAAAAAAAACCTAAAAATAATGCCCCCTCTGGCTGCACCCCGTCGACAGAATGCCTCTGCCGTGCGGTCACATGAGCGTACAATCAGGGATGGAATTTGGTACCAACAACAACAAAAATACATGTGCAGTAAACCCTTTGTTCATTCGACACGTGGGCCCTCTGGTCTTGCCGAATTATACAATATTTCGAATTATGTACAACGGTACTCCCAATGCCTCCTGCCCTAATTACCTTGTTTTCCCCCCAAACTCTTCATACACCATACACTTTGACACACCTGCATCAATTCTATCCAAAGCTTTGGATTTGTCTCGCAGACCAAGGGATTTGTACTTCAGTCCCTTTCTATTACTTCTTGATGTAGGTGTGGACGACATTTCTGAGAGGGTTGGCTTGCACACAGAGTGCATAAACAAGGTGAAGTCCAAAGCAACAACAGCTGTGCACTATTACTCGCCATGCGTACCGCCACTACACTCAGTCATTGTTTAGGTCATGCATCGCTCCACGTGTATGCCGAAATTGGACCATTTGGTACGGCAATTCGGCTCGTGGCGAATTACTAATACTGTATACATGCCGAAAGCGCAGCTGTGCCCAATTATTCCTAATTACGAATGACGAAATACCGAAATAACGAGGTTTTACTGTATATAAAAAACTATCTCCATAATTTTAATTTGCCTCCTTTCCATTGGTGGCCTTGAAGAACCGGTGCTGAGATTCTATCCCTGGCCCATTGCCAGCTTCGAAATGCTGGTCAGGGGATGAGTCAATCCCTGATGAGGATTTTAATGAATGACCTCTCAAATGTGAGACCCAACCAGCCTTACAAGAGCAAAATACGCTAAGTTTGGGTGGGGGGGGGGTGTGGTTGCAGCTAAGGCAAGTAATTGACTAACAAATGCAAGACTGAGTTCTAAATTTGGTAAGGGTAGAACGAAGCCCAATCATCCCTTGAATGCCAATGAAACGAGCGTCGCTTTTTTTGGGAAGTCAACGGCGATCGTCTTGACGCAAGGATTTGGTTGCAGTCGTTGGAATGTACAATGTATACCTACTGGCGAAAGGAGACGGAGTTACTGACTAACGGAGGAGACATTCTTCGACCCAACAAACGTGTGAACATCAGTGGGCGCGAGCTCTGCGCGCTGAACTTACGCTGGCCCCAGTTGCCCGAGTTTGGATGTAGGTAGTTGGGGTAGAGTCCATTGGGTTTGGTCATCTTATCCAGGACGTTCCTGATTTTCACCACCTGCAGACACGGCGAGAGATGGCATCACTGGCAGTCCATCAACCCCGGCTTGAGACTCAAGGTTCCAGGAGTATGATTGTGGTGATATATATGTATTTTACTTACACGTGTTTACCCAGGAAAGCTTCGCTGAGTTTCAATACTTTACGAACAGGAGGGTCCGCGCGATCGATAATTGAGTGCGAGCAAACGATTCGAAACAAAATCGATCTCATGAAATATGTCCAATAATAAAGAAGGCGGCAAAGTTAGGCTGAGAAACGCAAGCGTCACGTGACAACAACTTCCCTAAACAACCGGAGACAGCTGTCAGAGAGCCACGAGGCACACAAGGTCGCGTGTTTGCCGACTGCTGGACATCTGTGAAAAAGAACTTCAGAGCTCATCGGATTCCTCCTCCAGTATAAACAAATATTCGGATTATCGGTCAACCACTGGGGCCTCAGGGTAGAGCATTCACCGCTTGTCGCAGAGGTTCACGGGGTTTGAATCCAACAGCCACCCTGGTAACATCGATTCACGTTGTGGGTGTATTTACCGTGTTTACAGTGGACGTTAAAGGTTTCGTCCACAAATAACTATACAAACTATGTATAATTTATTTTTTATCAGGTTAGGGCTCATTGAGCTATGTAGCTCTTTTTGAGAAGCGACCTGGCCCAAACGTAATGATAGCTCAACGAAGTGGATTGCCATCATGTGGAAATTTATAGCAGCCAAATACTCTAAACGCACGTCGATTCTACACGTGGAGTGAAAAACCGGAGAGCCCGGAGAAAAATCTACGTGACCACAGGGAGAGAGATATGCGAACTTCAGACTGACGTCAGGGTCGGAATCGAAGAGCCACGACCTCCAGAATACCAGGCGAGGTAGTGAACATCTCCCCACCATGGCGCCCAAAAAATTACACGCAAATCATTCAACTGGTAAAAACAGATCGCAATCACCGCCCACCCCCCCTCCACTGCTGAAAAGAAAACCTGGCAGGATCCTCCTGAAAAAGGGTCACGAGACTCAGCGAAGCTTTCCTGGGCAAACGAGCGGAGTCATACCGATTAAAATATTCGGTTAGCCAAATTCCCTCCCCCTGAAATCTGTCTGGCTTGGAGAGTTTTTTTTGGCCCATGCAGGCTGCACCAAAGCCACGGCCGCTAACTCACCTTCTCGCGGAAGATGGGATTCCCACTCAGCTGGCTCAGGTGCTCAAACTCGAGGTGTAACGTTCCAAACTCCGACAGGATGCTGCAGCCTCCCGATGCCCAGCCCCAGTTTCTTCCCACACCGCTGGGATGTGCGCATGGACACACACACAACAACAAAGACAAAGAACCCCCCTATAGCCTTAACAGACTGTTGGGGCAAGTGTTATGAGCGAGCACCTATGAAGGCAAACGCAGCGGCGCACGAGATGGGTGGTGTGGCCAGTGCCACGCGCGACCCCCTTTGTTTCCCCGGTGGTGGTGTTGACACACTGCCCCGGGTACTGATATAAGGCCGTGTCAACCTAGGGAAGGCCCAGGACTGGTTCGGATATTCGTCACTGATGTTGGCCGTGAACAGGAAACGAATTGGGGTCACCGGGTTCGTAAATGCACACACACACGCGTACGCACACACAACATGGACACATATGCACAGTACAATACAATGCAATTTGGATTAATAATAGCATTTAAATGCAGGTTCATCTCGAGATACTACACAGAAACAATGGTCATAATTAATTTATGGAGAGATACATCATGTTATAGGCACAAGGTCTTGGGCCTGGACTTCTAACCCTTTCCCGTTCTGAGACCACCGCAAATTGCAGGGTGGGGTATCCCATTCACTGCTGAATTTCAGAATGCGCAAGCGTTGAGCGTTAATTTTATTGAGAGAGGCACTGCGCTGTTGTTTTAAAAAACATTGCACTCACCGCGCTGAACTTTAGCGACATGACCGCACTCTACGATAGCTGGCGCCAAACCGTGCCACACGCCCTCCCGCATGGCCTTGTGGGAGCCTCGGTACCGATAAAGTTAGTTTAATTTTTCTTCCGGTTCCATTCCGATGACGTAGACGTACGTCATTAAAATGGGAAAGGGTTAACAGGGGCAGGGAGTCTACAGCACGGACGGCTGGGGGAAGGGAGTTCCAGACAATCGGGGCAGCAAATTAATTTGAGACTTCCACAGAAAGCCTGGGTTGCTAGAGCTGAGAGTTTGTGGAGGGTAGTGGAGTGAGATGCGAGGGGAGAGGCAGGAGAGTGCTTGGAGGGTAGTAGAGTGAGATGAGAGGGAAGAAGTAGGAGAGTGCATGGAGGGAAGTGGAGTTAGATAAGAGGAGGATCTTGAAGATGCCGAGTGCGATGTTGACTTTGACCCAGGGCTGGATTGGGTGCCGGTGGAGCAATCGGAGTATTGGGGTGAAGGGGTCCTATTCATTTATGGATGCAGGTGTAGAATAGCCTGGTGGTGGCATTTTCATGGACCATTTGAAGTTTGGAAATGCGGAATTTTGGGAGGCCATGGAGCAGAGAGAGAGCTGCGTTCGTTGCGTCGAGTTGTGATGAACATGTGGATGAGGATGCTTAGCGGTAGCTGGGGGTAAGGAAATGGGGGGGGGGGCGTGGGGGTTGTGCAGACGTAGGTAAGAGATCCTGCAGAACAAACGCATAAACTATTTAAAAACTATCAACTATTTTACTTACGAAGTAAAGCGCACTGAACTGTCGGCACTTTTTCAGACGCATCCTGGCCACATGTGATGATAGCTCACATCATTGGAATGGCTGATATCATCAGCACACGTGACAATTAATAGTTGCAGCCAAATAACAAAAACGTGCGTTTATAAATGTAGAAGGCAAAACCGCAGGAAACCGGAGAAAAATCCACGCGACCACCACGGGGCGAGAGAGAGAGAGAACACGCGAACTCCAAATATACAACAACGGGCATCGCCAGGGTCCGGGATCGAGCCCACGACCTCCTTGCGTACCAGGCGAGGGAGATAGCATCTCATATTCTTTGGTTCTTTCGGTAAAGTCACGTATTTATAAAAAATAATATAGTTGAAAAAAATAAAAAAAAATGAACAAAAAAAATAAAACCACGACATTTCGATCGCAACACAAGAATATGAATTCCTGCAGTCACGAAAGTCAAGATAGCATCTCCTCGTCACCGCAGCACCGGGACAGCACCCCGAGAGGGGGGGGGGGGGGACTCACGTCTTCAGGTTGACCATGGCCCAGGGGATGCCTGTGGGGGTGTTGAAGGCGGGCAGCAGTCTCTCCCCCAGCTCCACCGCCTTGGTTCGGAAAAACTGCGTGGGTGGGGTGGGGGAAACAAAAAAAACGACACCAGACCACGCCGTGCTTAGCCCGGACAGGCTTGTCGGTCGGGAGCAAGCGCCGATTCAAAACGGCATGGCACACACGTGCCGTGCCGTGCCGTTACACGTGACGTCTGTCGATGCGCCGCCGGACGAAGGCCTTGCCACACGCCGTGTCGGTCACCGTACTTCACCAACGCTTGTCGGCGTGGATTGGTGAAACGGGACTGGTTCAGATACCACTCACCACTGCCTGCCTGTTGCGTTTAGTTTGCCGTCCTTCATCCGCACCTCCGATTAGAACACGGTTGTATGTATGTTTGTTAAACCAATGTCTCACTGTAGGTAGCCAGCCGTGCTAATCGTAGGTGCGAGGGAACGCCAACAGACGAAGCACAAAGAGCAGTTCTAAAGAGTTGCTCACCTATACCCGTGGCTGATGGGGTCAGGCCCTGTATTACTCATTCCGACAGAGGTACCTGTGATGACGCAGTACAGCAAGTAGGTTACTGCGGGCCAAAAAAACGAGCGTCGCCCACTCCACATGTGCGTGCGTCTGTGTGTGTGTGAGCTTGGCCGCTCCATTTTTTATTCCACCGAGGAAAAGAAACACGCGCCCTCAAATCATTTCCCGATCGCCACCGGCTCGGTGGAACCTTATTTTACAAATAATCAAGAACGCGGAGATGGCGACACGAGGATTTACCGTCGCGCGCGGACATTATGGTAACGACGCACAGGCCGTCTTTGTTTATTTCCAGAATGGCAGGGCGGGGGGGGGGGTCACCCCAGATGTTCAGGGTGAAAAATCCATTTGACCGGGTCAATGTAATTGCCGGCTCAGCCGTACAGCCCTGTGTGTTAATTGCCACCGGCGCTCGCGACAAGCCCCTGTAAATGAGAAGCGCCTCTGCTCTCTGTCTAGACGTAACCAGTGCTCACGCTCTCGATGGAAAGCACGCGACGGGCATCATTTCACTCTGGGAGGCTGTGGTAGCCCTTCCTTGCCGCGTGATGGCGGTGCAGACAAACACTCAACCCCGCAGAACAATCCCCACCCCCGAGAAGGTTTTGTGTTGGGTCACCGCACAACAGGCAGGGAAGGGGGACGCCGTCGCTCCGATCGACCGTCAGGAAAGAGCGCTGTTAGCGAGCACCTATTAAGGCCAGAGGCACGTGGGGTCGTGGTGGTGGGGGGCGGCTTCCTGCCACTTCCTGTCTGTCTTCACCCAGCGCACCAGGTGCTCATTTAACACGGAGTCAACCTCACGCTGTGACCCTATAGCACCAGCGGGTGCATGGGTATTTGGAGTTTGCGTGTCTCTCTCCCCGTGGTCCTCTGGTTTTTCCCTCCACGTTTAGAATCGACGCGCGTTCAGAGTAGTTGGCTGCGCTAAAAATTCCACGCGATGATGATAAGCCCGCTTCGTTGAGCTGTCATTTGCGATAGCCCAGGTCGCTTCTGAAAGCGAGCTATCGAGCTCAGTGGGCCTTACCTGCTAAACTAACAAGAGGAAATGTTTAGAGTTGAGTTTCCGCTGGCGATGAGCATCGTGGCGAGGAGTTGGGGTCGGCCTGTGTGAGTGGGAGCGCGGCGCGCATCATAATCGCTGGATCACCGGCGCCCCGTCACTCCGTTACCCACGTTCCCTCGGTGCGGTCGCTCACTGTGGGCTTTCCTGGTAGGATGGGGATGGTTTAGTTTTATTTTGTACGTATTTGGGTGATTTGTTTACCTTTTTTGAACTTTGCACTCTTATCGTGTGTTTGTAACCGTTTGTTGTTGTGACGTTCTTACCCCGTGCCCCTACTGGACATCTGTGGAAAAAAGAGCTTCGTTGCTCATCGGATTCCTCCAGTTGTAAATACATATTCTGATTCTTGAAGCTCGTTTAACCGCTCGACGCGGAGGTCTGCGGTTCAAGCCCCCCCCCCCCCGGCCACGCTGGCCGCCCCGGTTAATAGCGCTGTAAAAATACACGCCGTCCGCTTCGCAGCGAGCGTTAAAAACAAAGAAAAAAGATCACGTGGACGTCATTCAAAAGAGAGCGGCGGCCCACGTGTGTTGTTGTCACGGTCCAAATTTGTAAAAAAAAAAAAACTCGCAAATCCCTCAGTTTGCGACCCTGGTGCGGCCGGGTACGGGTAGACCGTGAGTCACTGGTGAGTAACTGTTTGTCACTCATTTCCCAACGTCGTCTCTTCTCACAATTCAAGTTCCTAGAATCAACCCACCCGCGCCTGCAACATGGCTTCATCCCAGAGGTCGCAATCAGGTACCCGATACCCGTACCGTACCCGGCGGGGTACGGTACGGGTACGGCCGGGTACGGGTATCCGTTTGCGACTCTGGTGCGGCCGGGTACGGGTACGGGTAAGGAATCAAAACCCGTTTGCGACCTCATCACCACCCCCCACGCCCCGCGCCCCCCCTAATGGCGTACTAACAGCAACTTACACGCGTGCTGCTACGTGCACTTTGTGCCGCCAAGGGACAGCTGCCGTCGTAGGGGGTCCCGCCGAAGGCACGAGCAGCAGCTGAGCATCGGAACGGTTGAGACGAGGGGTGACGTTAAAGGCGCACTTGAGTTACGGAGGCATTTAAGCGCCATATAAATGCAAATCCTTATCGCGCACGCTTACCGGCGCATTCGCAGCGACTGGCTGAAAAATGAACACCCGGCCTTGAGATTGCCGAGACAGATACCAGCCTCCGGGTACGCATTGTGCACATTTGAATAATGCCGTCCATTCAATTCCAAATGCCCTTTTGTTTTTTTTCCGAAAAGAAAGCTACTTCTGCCTGGCAGGTCGCCGCGTGGTGCCAGGGAACGGTCCTGGAAACGACTGCATCCAACCCTGCCGCTGCCGCTGCTGCCGCACGTCTCCTCGCTCCGTAAAGAGACAGTTTTTTGCTGCACGTCAATCAACCGGCATTGCCGTCGAGTTGAAAATGTTTGCAGTCGCGGCTGCGCTCGACTACGCAGACCGAAAACGCTTGTGGCGTGGTGCCCGGCAGACCCAGTTCGAAAACTGTCATCTCACTGAACTTAAAGAAGGCGACTTGCCCGTGCGCTTCAAACGCGCGTTCTCAGCCGCGCCAGCTCGGTGACTCTCGGCGTTCCTCTGTCATTTTTCCTACAACCTGGCCGGACGTCCATTGTGGCGGCCACAGCTCGCTCGACTCAGCCCCTCCATCCAATACCGATCCGTGGAAAGTCAAGAGTTGGCGGTGCTATGCAGCTGCTGTCCCCCCCCCCCCCACCACAGGAATGTGGACTTGAAATAAAACCGACAGTTGCGGTCGGTCACGTGTTGAAAAACTCCCTGCAGTTCGATGAAATGTCACAATTCAGGGCCTCGTGATTTGACTCCACGACGTCTCGCAATTTACGCCTCGTTCAACGCCTCGTCCCCAAGGTGACGCCTGCGTTATAATTACCACCGTTTGCAAGAATCGTAAATTAATCTCGCTTCCCGCGGTCGACTCGACCCGCGCGCTGCGAGCGCAGTGAATTCGCTTCTAATCGATGAACGGCTACAACGCCGGAGTTAAGATTGAATTGAGCTGCGCGAACAACTGGCACGTTAACGAGCGCGGGCAGGTAGGCGTACTACATTTGCAAATGCGGGCACGAACGGGGGATGGAGAGGGAGGACAAAGAGGGAGGGAGGGAGGGAAGGTTTGGCTACGCGTATAAACGCAAGTGCCGTGGCTGCCCCGAGTCGGACGTGAATGTTTCAGCTGTCACAGCTGCTCAGGACAAAAGCGAGGACTCGGGGAGGCGGAAGGGGGAATAAAACCCCCCCAAACCCCCAATTCCTCGCGCCGCGACAGACGGAGGTGTCCCGTCAACTCCACTCGCCATCACATCGCCAAAGGGCCACTCGCACCCGGCTGCTTCGACAATTCATCATCGCATTTCTTTTTAATGAGAGCGTGTAAACCACTCAACGTTTCAATGCCTCTCGTGTCATAATATTGCCCCTGTATTTGTACGTCGCGTTTATGTTGCGCGCGCGGGCTGGCGGGTGGGCGGGCGGGCGAGCGCGTGTGATGCATGGAGTAAATACGTTTGTTTTAATTGTCTTCGAATTGGCCGGTCGTACACGCGCACGAATTGCGCATTATGCATGTGCGCGGCAGCGCGTCTATGATCTATACGGCGGAATAATGGGAGCAGTTGGTTGGCCCTACTACCGCAGTAGCCACCGCCACAGCGTCAGTGGAAGGTGGTATCAATCCGTGGTGTGGGCCACCTCTAGGTTGACTTAGCCCGAGGCGAAAATAATCCCTTAATTTTGCACGTAGGCTTTCACGACCAACATGAACATTCTTAATTCGTGTATTTTTGGGCGTAGATCGTTCGGTGCATAATGACCACTCGATATGACTGGACTTTGAGCTTCATGCTTCATTTTAAAAGAACAGCTCTCAGTGAGATATTAGTTGCCGTTGAACTGCTCTAAAGTCCACTCATAAATCGTCTGTGATGTTTGCGGCTGGCGCTGTGGTCAACCCGTCGTGGCAACTTGCGAGTTTAGATCCTGGTGTGGGGGGTCGATGCGGCCTGTCATCTCTCTGGGGATGACAGAATCAGTAAGTGCTCTGCTGGAAATCGACAATGATCATCCCATGCATAAATTACACCCTCCCTCACCCAGCCCCCCCCCCCCCGTACCGATCGCGTAAACGTAGAATTTCCACCGCTGCCTCACGTACACCAACGTTTGAGCGGTGAGACAATTTTAGCCATAACAGAAGTTTTGTTTGGGTCTGATCTCGTGAATATAAATGTTGTCGTTAAACCCGCCATCACCCGGCGCAGCCAACTAGTGAGCTTTGTTAAGTAAACAACTCTTGCCAATCTATATTTGAAGTTTTCGTGACTGCAGGGATCCATACTCTTCGGTTCTTTCGGTAAAGTGACGTGGGTAGAAAATTAAATAAATTAATTCACGACGTTTCGGGCACAACACAAGCGTCCGTC